ACCCTAAGCATTCCTACTCTTAACCAAGATGATGCAAGGATCCTAAGATACTTTATTTCATTCCTCACTCATGTATTTGAATTGTTTTTTCAACTTTACGGAACTTCATTATTATTGTTTTATGCAGTCAGTGTTTATTTACATTTACTCATTTCTTTACGTTTAAAAAAATCTTCATTTCTTTTGTATCTTAGATCTTCCATCTGTGATCATTTTCCTTATTCTAAAGTATAATTTAGAATTTGCTTTAATATGGGTCATGGCAGACTCAGTCTTTTGTTTTGTTTTGTTTTTTGGAAAATGAGTTTTCCCCCCTACTCTCATTTTCTGAAAGATAGTTTTTTTCTGGGAAAAGTATTTTATTTATTTATTTATATTCATTTTTTAAAAGATTTTTTTCCTAAGTAATCTCTACACCCAACATGGGGCTCAAACTTACAACCTGGAGATCAGGTGTCACATGCTCTACCGACTGAGCTAGCCAGCTGCCCCTGGGAAAAGTATTTGAGATTGTCAGTTGTTTCTTTCTGTATATGGAAGATACCATTGCAATGTTACATGGCTTCTATTGCTGATAAGAAGTCAGCTGTAAGTTTAATTGTTGATCTACTGGAGGTAATTTGTACTTCTATTCTGGATGCTTTTAAGATCTCCCATTGTCTTTGGTGTTGCCATAGTGAATTCACCATAGTGAATCTGTAGTTCATTATTATGTGTCTGGAGATGGATTTCTTTTTATTTATCATACTTGGAATTTGTTGGCTGCTTTATACTGTGAATTGATGTCTTCCATGCATTCTGAAAAAAAAATATCAGGCATTATCTCTTCAAATATTATCTTTGCCCCAGTTGCTCTCTCTTATTCTTGTGAAACTGTGATCAGGTTTATTATAGATCTTTTGAGTCTATCCTTCATTTTTCTTAACCTCTTTTCATATAATCTTTTTGTCTCTCTGTATTCCTTTCCTTTGTGGATAGTTTTCTTTTAGTTATTTCTGGTTTTCTAATTCTTCTTATTTGTCTAACTTATTAAACCCATCCAATGAGCTTTCCATTCCAATTTTTATATTACATTTGTAGAAGTTACATTTGGTTCTTTTTCATATTTGCTATATCGTTCAAAAATCATTTTCCCATATACTGCAGACATTTTAAGTATGTTTCATTTCTTTAAACACAACAGCTGCTTTATAAACAAAGCCTGATAATTATAAAATCTTTTATTGCCATTATGTTGTAACTGCCAATGATCTCTTGAGAATTGTTTCCTTATGTACTAGTTATCCTTTGAAAACTAATTGTGAGAATTATTTGAAACCTATTGTAGAGGGATAGTCCAACCAAAAAGGGTTTGTATTTGCTGTAATAAGATTCCTAGGCACTACTAATTCCAAACACTTTCAACTATATTCACAGCTTGACATTTGGGGGAAGTTTTTTATGTGGTAAGAATCTAGGCTGTAAATCCATCTATTAACTTTTTGTGGTTGCAATATATCCGAGACAGGCAATTTCTCAATATCAATGCAAATTTTCTGACGTATTCTAGGGGTTAGGTTGGTTGTGTTTCCATATAGCCCTGGCTTTATGTAGGAAGAGTACCTCATTAGACTCCCCACCTGGAATGGGCCCTAGATTTTAACTTCTGAATTTCATGTCCTGTAAGAAATGGAAATTGTCCTCTTGCCACAATTTCACTATCCTGCTTACCTCTCCAGGTATACACTTTCCCTTATAGTTTGCACTTGTACATCCTCACTAAATTGTCAGTTACCTGGTGCTTTACAGAACTTGATTTCTACTTTGTTATTTTAGTTTTTTTAAGGTAGGGTCATTTCCTAGCCTATTATATTATCATAAATGGAACTTCTATATGGATTTTGAAAAACAAATCAGTGTAGAATAGCTGTTAAGAAAACAGACTCTAGAGTCAGACTGTCTGGCTTTACATCATGGATCTAGGCTTTATCTTCTCTGCGATATTGGGCAAGATACTTAACTTCGTTGTATTCCACTTTCCTCGTCTTTAAACTGAGGAAAGGAATAATATTTTCCTCACAATGCAGGCGATGTATTTGGTATAATTTCTGCCTCTTGATAATCACTTATTACCTCTCTATGAAAATTGGTGAGAGAGAAAAAAGTGAGAAATGACAAGAGAAAAGAGTGGGAAAGGATAACTTGGTATGTGAAGGCAAACTGTAGGGGAACAGGGAGTGGGAAAAATGACAAAAATGTGGGAGAAACAGTATACAAAGAGGTTTTATTAAAAAAGTCTTGATGTATGTTATTCAATATAATTCAGCCTATTTTGCTTTCTCAAAAGATCTTCAGTAAGGACCTACATTAGTTTCCAATGTGTGTTTTTTAAAACAGGATTTGTGTTTCTTTTGGATATGATATTGTACCAAGACTGCTGTCTAGGTGGCTCGATCTTATTTTTATTTCATATATACCTGCAGGAGTAAGTAATTTCATCACAAAGACTGCTGTGTTAAATAAGCGCTTGCTTGCCAATCTGTCTGAAGCAGAGCAGGCATTAAAAAAAAAAAAATCCCAAACCAAAACAAATCAGCACCAAGACAAGTTGAATTAAATAAATGAATGAAATGCTGGCAAATTTTTAATTAGAAAAGAAAACTTAAGGTATTAGGCCTTTGTAGCACCAAACACAGCAAGAAAGATGATGTAAAGATGATGATGTTTTACAAAGAGCATTTTCTAGTTACAGTAAGTGAAACTGCTTAGTACAGAACCCCTGGGAAACATAAAGCAGGGTTCTCCACCTCTTCGCAGGTGACATGTTGGTCTGGATAATTCTTCACTGGGAGGTGTGTGTCCGGTGCACTGTAGGATGTTCAGCAGAAGAGCTAGCCTCTACCACTAGATGCCAGTAGCACTCTCCACACGTGCACCCAGTTGTGACCACCAAAAATATCTCCAGATATTGCCAAATATCCTCGGAGGGGCAAAATCACTTCAGACTGAGAACAACTGAAATAGAGGAATTACAAAAAATCATCCACAATCCTCCCACCAAGAAACATAAACTTTTTGTTTATATAAATAAAAATTACAAAACAGTGTCACATTGATCTTATTCTATAGCCAGCTTATTTTTCACTCAGTAAACAGCATCAACATTTTTGTTATATAATATTCCTCTGCAGCATAATTTTTTTGGTAGTGCAAGTACTTAATAACAAAATAATCCTAATTCCTCCTTCCTCCCTCCCATCCCTTGTATCATTGCTGTCCTTCCCTTCATTTCACTTATAAACACATACACAAACACACATGCACACATGTGTGCACACATACATAATCAGATACATTATTGCTATTATTATTTTGAACAAAATGCTTTTTATTAGATCAATAAAGAATAAGGAAATGTTTTTATTTTACTTTCACTTATTCCTTCTCCAATACTCTTCTTTTCTTTACATAGATCCAATTTTCTGACCTATATCATTTTCCTTCTCTCCAAAGGACTTCTTTTAACATTTTTTTCCCAAGGCAACTCTACTGGCAACAAATTTGCTCAATTTTTGTTTATCTGAGAAAGGCTTTATTTCACTTTAGTCTTTTCTTGCTTGTGCAGCCTCATCACAACTGAAGAGAAGTAAAATGTGATTGTTATCTTTGCTCTTCTATTGGTAGACTATTTTTCCCCTCTGGCTTTTTCAGAATTTTTTCTTTATCTTTGACTTTGTATAGTTTGAGAATGATATGCAGTTTTCCTGACATCTATGCTGCTTAGTGTTCTCTGAGCTTACTGGGTCTGACTTTTGGTGTATGACATTAATTTGAGGGAATATCTCAGACATTATTATTCGAAATACTTGCTTATGTTCCTTTTTTTCTTCAGATATTCATTACGTGCGTGTGTTTCACCTTTTGTAGATGTCCAGCAGTTCTTGGATATTCTGCTCTGGCTTTGTTTTTGTTTTGTTTTGTTTTGTTTTTCAGGCTTTGTTTCCTTTGTTTTTCAGCTTTGGAGGTTTCTGTTGAGATATCTTCAAGCTCTCTGTGGATAAAGATCTCTTTCCTTAGCCATGTCCAGACTATTAATAACCCCACCAGAGGCATTCTTCATTTCTTTTGCAGTGTTTTTTTTTTTTTTATCTCTAGCATTTCTCTTCAGTTCTTTCTTAGGATTCCCATCTCTCCGTTTACATTGTCCATCTGTTCTAGCGTGTTGTCTCCTTTATCCGGATAAATTAGAGCCTTTAGTATATTAAATCCGAATTGTTTTAAATTTTCAATCTGATAATTCCAACATCCCTGTCATATCCAAGTCTTGGTTTTGGTGCTAGCTCTGTGTCTTCACATGTTTTCTGCCCTTCAGTATGCCTTGTAAGTTTTCCTGGATTGTTGGACATAATGCACTTGGTAAGAGAAACTGCCCAGTACTGGCGCCCGGTAAGGCTGTTACTTGTGGGTTTCTATTCCCTTACGTTGTGTATTTTGCCTGCCCCTCTCTCTAATTCTGGGGGTAGCGGTTTTCCCTGTGACCTCAGGTTTCTTGCAGATCTAAGAAAAGTTGATGATTTTTCAGTTTGTTCAGCTTTTACTTGTTAGGATCTACTGCATATTATTATTATTATTATTATTATTATTATTATTTTGCCCATTGAACATTTATTTATTTAAGATCTACTCCATGATTTTTAATGGAAAACTTGTGTGTATGGACATAGTGCGCTTTTACATAACTAATTGTGGAGTATTGGGAATTTTGATTGTTTCAAATAAGGCTACAGTAAATGTATCTGATGATCGATCCTTAGAATAGATTCTTGGGGGGGTGTTGGTGAGCCTCCACCAGCAGGCGGCGCTGTAGGACCTACGGCGGCCCGGGAAGAGCCAGACGCCGCTCTCCCTCGGAGGGCACTCTGCCCCGCCCGTCCTCTCCCCTCCGCGGTCGCGGGTTTGGGGAAGTGTTTCTAGGAGACGGCGCCCGCCGGCTGCGCCTGCGCGGTTGACGCTGCCAGGGGGCGGGCTGACGGGCCGCGGCGCTGGCCGGCTGGTAGTTCCTTTTGGGCCTGGGTCGTTGGGCCTGCCCGGGTTCTCTCGCTCCATGGTACGCCTGTGAGTCACGTTGCCGGCGGACGTCTCCTCGGGATGGAGCACATCCGTACGACCAAGGTAGTCGCGGAGAACAATTAGCCGCTAGCCATGGTCTGACCCGGCAGAGGTGGGGGGCGACGATAACTCGGCTGGCCGGACCAGGGCTGAGGACCGGCCGCGCGGGGGCCTGCCCGGGCCTAGTCTGGGAGGGCAGGGGCAGTTTGGGCCAGGGTGGGTGCGGAGGGCTCCTGTACCTATGGGAGTGGGAGTCCCGCTTTCAGCCCTTGGTGTTGGGGTGTGGATGATTTGGGCTGCTGGGGGTTGAGTCCCATGAATTGGGTCGCCGCCCTCTCAGCGCTACACTTTCTTGGGCAAAATTGGGGCTGCTTTAGCTTCAGCTGCTTTCAGGCATTCGCCTCCCCCAAAGACCGGAAAACGGGTGGGTCCTCAAATCAGCATTGCAATATTGTGTAAGCTTTTCCTTGTTCACGTTGAATTGTCCCGTGTCACAGATTCTTGATGCAAGTTTTGGAGGCGCTGAGGTCAGCACTCTGCTCCACCTCACTTTGTTGTCTCGGTCTCCATCCACTCATTTAGGTTTGGTACTCCGTCTCTTTGCTTCAAAACTTCATTGTCTTTAGCGTCAATGGTTTAACAGAGGAGTTACGGAGAAGGAAAACATGTTATCCCATATTTTAAAGTGTCCGATGGAACTCTTTTTCAGTTGATCTTATTAAATCCCATGCTTAATTTTTGCATGCGAAAGGCATTTATTTTTAGGAACGAACAAGTATTCGTATAATTCCATTACAAATGTTGAAACTGAAGGAAATGGTATCAAAATATTACCAAGTTACGTTACCAGGAATTAAGTTCAGCTTCAACCTTGGGAGGGAGAAAACATAAATCAAGACAAGAAGAATTGAATAACATAATTTTAAGATCGCCTGGGGCCTAACAAAATTAGGAAGAGGACCCACTGTGAGTTTTGACTCCTCTGTTTTGCTAACTCCATCGCTCCATTGCCGCGCATCCTAAAATTACCGTTCATTTAGAAAAAATAGCGACAGACGTTATCTTCATTTGTTCCATGGAGAATTTGAGGTCTATGTCATTAAAATTTTTCACGAACCTTTTTAAGGTGTTAGGGATTTTGTTAGAGCTTGTTTATAACATTGCATGTACTATAATATTTGAAGATGCTAAAAACTAGTCCCTTTTTAAAAACCTTTTTTTTTTTCCTTAAGGGAAGAATGGTAAAGAAACTTTAATTCTGGTTGCTGGCTCTTAAAGTTTGAAAACAGAAGGGTGGTTAAGTAAATAACCAAACTAGTAGAAAACGCAGAGATGGAAAAGAGGGCTAGAGCATGCATCAGATCAGGTTCTCGTTCTGGTTGCAGGGTTCCGAATGTGTATTATATAGTAGTTTTTCACAGTGGGCCTATCCTGATGGTTTAGTAAGGTCCTTTTATGACTTTTTAAGGAGCAGAAGATTTCTGAATAATTTTCTATTAAAATTACTTTTCAAGTTGTGCTCTTTTATTACTTTGAGTTATTTTTCTAGCATGGGATCACCAGTACTCTGAGATAATCATAAGCGGCTATAGGTAGACTGCAATTAAACTAGTACTTACTAGGTCCCAGTTATGTGCCAGGCATAGGACAGATACTGGCTGTAGAGCAGTGAGCACGATAGACATGGACCTCACTGTACATTCTGACAATTGTGTGAACTATAATATTTTCTTAAATTATGACTTAAAAGATTGTTATGAACATAGCCTATTGCATTATTATACTACTTTGCATAACCTTCACTTGGACATGGTTAATTTACTGCAAAAATGATTGTATTTCAAAACTAAAAATGAATTGCTTTAAGTTTACTTAGCTGTTTTGAACTATGCAGTTTAGTCACTATGATCAAGAATTGACTGTGGAGTAGTTCTATGTAACTATTTATTCTATGTGGAGACAACTGTATTTGAGAAGTAATAATTACCAGTTCTTGAGCAACTCTGTGTCCATGTAGCCAGCTGTGCAATATTACTTTACAATATTTACAGTTTCACAAGTATGCTAATTTATACACAGTTGTCACTAATTTCTTTTTTTTTAAGATTTTATTTATTGATTTTGGCAAAGAGTTGTCACTAATTTCTTAAATAACCCTGCCAGTTAGGTACATTATCGGCATTTGCAGATGAGAAGGAAATAGGCTTGGGGAGTTGAAGTAATCTGCCCAGTTATCTCATGAGGGATAGAGTTAAGGTTTAAACCAAAGTTTGTCGTAATTTTTTTCGTTACTTCTCTAGTTTTAATCTGATTGTTAAAATGTATTAATCTTCAGAAATGAATCCTAATGAATTCTAAGAGCTTTTTTTCCTCTAACCCTCTTCTTGACATAAGTAAATAATATTTATGTGGTATTTTTTTGTATTGTTTATGGTCATTGTTTTTTTTATTGTTTACAAACCAGAGATTTATCAGATAAAGTATTTTAGCTGAGTGCTGATTAAATGGCTTTATAGTTATAAAATTCAGGAACAGATATACCATCCTGTTTTGGTCACATTTGGTTTACTTACTGCATAGCATCACTAAAGATGTCAAGTCTAGTCTGAATTTGAATTTCTGAAAGACTGTTTCCAAGCTCTGCCTATCACTTTGAGCTCTAATTTGGCCATAATGAGATAGTCTTGCCAAGAAACAATGGGAAATATGCAGAGACAGTTCTTCTTTATGCAGTCTTTCTCCTTTCCCTGCCAGGCTCCAGTGCTTTGGCTGACATCATCTGTTGATGTCAAACGATGTTGTGCTGTTTGTGAATGGAACTTTACAGAATGTAATGGAAGAATGTTTTCCTAAACTATATATGGAAGACGGCTTTCTACAGTTTGTTAAGGAATGGAATGTCCCAAGAAAATCTGACCCCATTAGGGCTCAAGTTGAATTATTCCAAAAGTAATGCCTACTTTGTTCTTAGCTTGCTACGCATTTTTGTCATTAGAATGTGTGATCATAGGTGTATGTACACAAATATGTGTAATCAGTTACAAAGAGGGAAAGAGATGCAAATAAGAACCAGTAGATTTGTGGGGAGCACCTGAATGCTTTTCCTCCCATAAAGTGCTATTTTGACTCACTAATATTATTCCATTTTACAGGTGAGAAAACTGAAATTTGCAGAAATTAAATACCTTGTCCTGACTCAAACAGCTAGTTCTAATAAGGAAGAGATGGAGCTGGGAACTTGAATCCAGGTCTTTCTGATTCTAGTCCTGTTCTCTTAACCATAGCACTCCTCTGCCTCACAGAGTAATTGTCTAATCAAGAGATTTGAGGGGCACCTGGGTGGCTCAGTTAAGTGCCTTCGGCTCAAGTCATGATCTCAGAGTCCAGGATCGAGCCCCACATCAAGCTCCCTGCTCAGTGGGGAGTCTGCTTCTCCCTCTCCCTCTGCCCACCCCCACTTGTGCACCCAGACACGCTCCCTTCTCCCCCTCTCTCTCACGTAAATAACTAAAATCTTTTAAAAATTAATTAATTAATTAATAGATTTGAATAGTGAGGTAGGTCAGTGTGAGTAGGACTGGAAGGAAGGTAGGGGATGGAGGAGAGGAACTTAGGTGGTAGGATTTTGTCTAGTAGGTAACCTATTATGAGGGTGTAGGGTTAGGGAAAAGGTATGGTCCAGAAGAATAGATTTGGGAGTTGTCGGTGTTTAAGTAATCATTGATGTTTTCTTTTATGGATGAGTTTATGCAAGGAGTACACGTGTAGAGGCTCTTTGGAGAAGAGTGTGAAGGTTAGAGCCCTGGGAATACTTAGAAAGGGGCAAGCAGAGGAAGAGGAGTCAGAGAAAGAGTACTAGGGATATAATGGGAAGAGGTGAATCACAAGAAGGGAAGTCTTCCCTATTCTAATTTCCTTCTTTGCTCCCTCTTCCTCTGCTCTTTCCTTTTCTTAGGGCCTGGTACTGTTCTATGTACTGGAGAAATGGTGGTTCCCAGACAAAAGTCCCTGCCATTCCAAAACTTACTTTCTAGTTGGGGGAGACACAACAGTAAACAAAGTTAATAAGCCAAATAATAATATAGCAGATGGTAGTAAATGCTATGGAGAGTGCCAGGGTGAGATTGGGGGAGGACGGTTGTAAATAGGGTAGTTAGGGAAGTTCTTACAGAGATAGTGACAATTGAGTACAGACTGAAAGTGGTGAGGGAGCAAGCCATCTTCACAGGGGCGGGGGTTGGGGAGGAGTGGCTGGAAGAGTCCCAGCAGAGGGAACGGCAAGGGCAAAAGCCCTATGTTGGCCATGCCTGGTTCGTAGAAATCAGCAAGAGGACCAGTGTGGCTAGATCAGAGTGAGTGAAGGAGAGAGTGCAGTAGGAAATTAAAAGTTGCGGACAGCAGCAAGGCTTGAAGGCTAATGTGAATCTTTGGTTTTACTGAGTGAGACAGGAAGCCATTCATAGAAAGTCACCTGTATTCAGTGCTGCAGAAAAGCAAAGTAAGATAGGACTGAAAAGTGTCCTTGGATTTATGATCTATTTTGTTTGGTGATTTATGCAGCCAGACGCTGTTGTAGGAACTTGGCATACACGAACAAAGAAAGATGAAAACCTCTGTCCTTTTGAGGGTTACTTTCCACTTCCCAAAGGCAACTTGATGCTCTTTTTTTTTTTTTTTTTTTTTTAAGATGTCAGTGCTGTAGAGTGTGGAATAATGATACTAAGAGTCGCGAATGGGTGCCTGGCTGTAGGGGCAGCTCACAGCAAGTCAGAAAAGCCATGACAGTGTGTTTTCTACTTCAGTAGCCCTGTCATGTAGTTGTAAAGTACAACTGTTGGCTACAGAACATTGATTAAGATGGCCATCGGTCCTTTCTTGTCCCAGAGACCACTTGGTGTCCGAATTTTCTGGATGTAATACTGAATATTTGTGATATCCTCTGTTTTTTCATTTCCATTTGTAATCATTTCCTTTGTAATCAGCTGAAATTTGAACTTCCTGTTTCGAGTACCTTTTAGTGCAGGCCCAAAGTTGGCAACAATTCAACTAAATGGCCCTCAAAGTAATGTGTTGGCATTTCCCATCCTTACCATAATGACTACACCCTCCAGTTCTCTTCTCCCTACTCTGTTTCTTCTTTGTTCTTTCTCTTCCCAAAACTTTGTCCTTCTTACCCATTCTCTTTTTGCCTGTGATAATACCTATAATTAAAGGGTCCTGACACTATTTCCGTAGTGTCTCAGTGCTAGTGACCTGAAAGAGTCGTGATTGCTTCCTAAATACTTGACTTAAAACATTTCCAGGAAAGCATTGGGAAAAATATGTAGCAATATCTGTAAAGTACTTTCAGTTCCCTGGTGAAAAGGGGAAATATGAGGCAGCAGTTGGTGCTTGGAAGTTGGCTAAGTCTCTGGTTTGAAATTTGTATGCTGATAATTTTAGCAAAGAAAAAGCTCTGCTTTCTTTTGTTTTTTACATTTATCTTAGGATTTGCAGCTAAGAACAGAATAATCAGTAAGCTCAGAACCTAAAGTTTTTCCAGAACCTAAAGTACTAAATGAATGTTTTGGAATAATGTTCAGATTAATTTTATTATCGGTCATATCCATATAGCGATTGCCATATTGAAGCAGTCATGTAATGATTTTTCTATTATATTTTCTTGATTTGAATATAATTTTCCATTTACTAAAGTAATAATCCTCAGTTTATTAAAGTCCTATATAGCCTCTTTTCTCTCAGATTTTTCTCTAATTTCCTTCTTTGCTCCCTCTTCCTCTGCTCTTTCCTTTTCTTAGGGCCTGGTACTGTTCTATGTACTGGAGAAATGGTGGTTCCCAGACAAAAGTCCCTGCCATTCCAAAACTTACTTTCTAGTTGGGGGAGACACAACAGTAAACAAAGTTAATAAGCCAAATAATAATATAGCAGATGGTAGTAAATGCTATGGAGAGTGCCAGGGTGAGATTGGGGGAGGACGGTTGTAAATAGGGTAGTTAGGGAAGTTCTTACAGAGATAGTGACAATTGAGTACAGAGGTACTCTTTTTGTACCTTATCTTAGTGAATGGCAACCAGTCTGACAAGCTTAACATCTTCAAGAAGCCTCTATTTCTCCTTCCTTCTCACATCCATTTTGTCATCTGTAGATGGGCTTCTGCTTTATCCTGTCTATTGCAACTTAATCTGGGCCTTTATCGTATCTCTCCAGGCACTCTTAGATTACTTTGTTAGCCTTTTACCTGGTTACCCACCTCCTGTCTCTTCTCTACTCAACATTTTCTCCACATTGCCATTGGAAAGATCTTCTTAAAAACCATATCTAGTCATGGCTACTGTGCTTAAAATCTGCTGTATCCTTTTATCTGCAACACAGATACTCTACCTTAACAGGTGTTTCTTTTTCATCAAATATTATTGTCGCTCCCCTTTTGTGTTCTCTCTCTTCTGAGAATTCTGTATTTTCTGTGTTATAGTTAAGAAAATTTTGTTCAGCTTTGCTTTCAATATTATATTAGGAAAACAGTTTTTTCCAGCTGTAGGACACATTAGAATATTGAATTTGGTTTTAAAGTCCATGTGCCTCCTCCTTCCTTTCTCCATTTGAATTTGAACATTAGTTTAAGACAGAGGACTGTCAGGGCTCAACTTACCTCATCAGCTTACTGACTTACTAACAGTACTCATTTTTGCAAACATCTGAGCACTTTATTGCTTACTGTTTGTCAAGCAACCTTGGCGTCAAGTACCTACATTTATTATCCAGCCTTACTACAGCCCTCAAAGAAGAGACTGTTGTCCTTATTTTATAGATAAAGAAATGAGACCCAAACAATGAATCATGGAACAGTACACCAAAACAAATTATGTAATATATGGTGATTAACATAACAATAAAAATAAAAAAAAGACATTAAAAGAAATTAAGAAATAAAGAAAAAAGAAATGAGACCCAGACAATTTGGCCTTTAGTTGATAGCCAGTCAATTTCTGTGGAGTGAATCAGTAAACTGTCTTTCTTGAAAATGTTTATTTATGTGGATCTTTTCAAAAATGTGTGTGTATGTGTGTGGGGGGGGTGGGGTGTGCATACACCCATAATGCAGTTGTATATTTTAAAGGACCATAGTTGTAAGAAGCTCTTTTAAAAAATGGGAGGACTAGGGCGCCTGGGTGGCTCAGTTGGTTCAGCAACTGCCTTCGGCTCAGGTCATGATCCTGGAGTCCCGGGATCGAGTCCCGCATCGGGCTCCCTGCTCAGCAGGGAGTCTGCTTCTCCCTCTGACCCTCTTCCCTCTCGTGCTCTCTCTCATTCTCTCTCTGTCAAATAAATAAATAAAATCTTAAAAAAAAAAATCTTTAAAAAAAAAATAAAAAGTGGGAGGACTGGGGCACCTGGGTGGCTCAGTCAGTTAAGCGGCTGCCTTCGGCTCGGGTTGTGATCCCAGGGTCCTGGGATCGAGCCCCTCATCGGACTCCCTGCTCAGCAGGAAGCCTGCTTCTCCCTTTGCCTGCCATTTACCCTGCTTGTGCTCTCTCTCTGTCAAATAAATAAATAAAATCTTAAAAAAAAATACATTTCTCTCCAAATCTTAAAAAAAAAAAAAAAAGTGGGAGGACTACACAAACTGGAGCCTTAAACATTTGGGAGAAGAGCATAAAGATAGAGAAGGAACCTAGCCTAATGTGAGTTAAGAGCAAGAGGGATTAATTTGGAGTTGCATAAAAATGACCTGGTGAGCTTCTTAAAATACAGATCTTTGGGGGCGCCTACGTAGCTCAGTTAAGCGTCTGATCCCAGGGTCCTGCTCAGTGAGGAGTCTGCTTCTGCCTCTGTCCCTACCCCTGTGCACGTGCTCTCTCTCTCTCTCTCTCTCTCTAATAAATAAAAAACCTTTAAGAAAAATACAGATTTTTGGTCTCCATCTCCTGAGATGGCCGAGTGAAGTTAAGTGGGGCTTAGGATTTGTATTTATGCAGAGTTTTGGAGATGATTCAGATGAACAGCTAGGCTTTGGGACTTGAATGTAGGTAATCAGAATTAAAGATCTAATAAATGGGATTTCAGATAATTTTGGATTTAGAGATGGGGGAATCAAGAAATAGGCTTGGAGTGTTAGGATGAGTATTTTTAACTTGAATTTCCAATCTTGATAGACAACAAGCTCGAAAGAACTATGTAGTGTTATGCAGCTCTAGAGGAAGAGTGACTTTGTCTTAATTGGGTGATAGGGTGGGAATAGCAGACTGAGAGTCCACACGTATATTTAAAAACAAGAAAAGCCAAACTATAACTGTACATTCTTAGTAATTTTTCTGCTTATTTTAAGTTTGTTTATTTGTAAATTACTATTTACTGTTCACCTTCTATGTAGGGAGAAGGTGGCAGAGAGAAATGAGGGACAGTATAATGTTACAAAGAAGAACTTTATATAATAAATCTCTTGGATGATTTCAGCAAGAGACCACTGGTAAACTGTGGGCACCTTCTGTTTTCCCCTGTGGGAAGTGTTTCTATGGCCTTTCCCCCTAGTTCAACAAATATTTATTGTGTCAGATGCTATATTAGTCATTAGGTAGTCAGACATAAATAAGAGAGAGTTCTTGCCCTGGGGTATGTTGTAGCTTTAGTGGGAGAGATGGACACATGAACTTTATATGATGCTTTATAATGTAGAAACTACTCTAACAGTAGTGGAAGGTGCAGATTTTAAAAGTATTTAGGCTATAAAATTGATAGGAGTTAGTGATTAGTTGAATATTGGCGGTCAAGAGGAAGTCATAGGATGATTCCCAGATTTCTAATGTGGGTGATTGGATGAAGATGGAGTCATATTAATTCAAATCAGAAATATAGGATTAGGAACCTACTTGTGAGGGGTGAGGGAAAATCAGTTTCATTTTCTGTATGCTTAACATGAGTCTTAAGACATCCAAATAGAGCAGTATGCATGGTGGGAAGGTGTTCTACCTCAGGAATCAGACCTATGACATAGGGTTATTACTGTGCTGTTCCGCTTACTAGCTGTTACTAGCTGTGTGATGTTGGGACATTTAACATTTAACTTCTCTAAGTCTCAGTTTCCATACGAAATTAATAGTACTTACTACATAGGAATTGTTAAAAGAAATAATGTATGTTAAGCACTTATCATAATACTGGACATATAATAAGACCTCAATACTATGTCAGGAATTATTATTGTTATTATGTGTATAGCAGGCAGTGTGAACTCAGGAGAGCTCAGAGTTGGGCATTTAGTTTGGAGAGTCACTAACGACAGTGGATAAGATGCCTATAGAGAATGGAGCCCCTGAATAAGAATAGTAATGAATAGGGGATGGACAGAGGGTTAAAATTCAAATGAAAGTAGTGTGATTGTTTTGCATGTAGATATTTGTGTGTAGAGTATTTGTGCCTTGTCAAAAAATTATTTATGGCTTGTGATTGAAGCATAACAAGAAATATTTATGACCTTTTGATTAAAAGACTTAATCAAACTGGGTGTTGTGTGTAAGTGATGAATCACTGAATTCTACTCCAGAAACCAATATTGCACTGTATGTTAACTAAATAATATTTAAATTAAAAAATATGTGGACTCTTAAATATGAAAACTGTTTATACCATGTACCTCCTTCCTGTTCCCCTTAATATTTGTGTTATTTTTTTACAGAGTACCTTTATTGGTTGTATTTCTAACTCTAAACAGTCCCTGTGTAACTTGTGGTTTACATATTCCCCAAGATGTGTGAAATTTAATGTTCAACATTAAATAAACTCATGTTTTTGAATAGAAAGAAGAAGAGCTTTGAAAATGGTACATTTAAATCCTAGGATAACAAAGAATTTGTGTTACTTTTGAAATGAGATATAAGTTCCTTTTCTTTTTTTAGGTTGAGCAAGTGAAATTACTTGACCGATTCAGTACCAGCAACAAGTCACTAACAGGAACGCTCTATCTTACGGCCACACATCTATTATTTATAGACTCTCATCAGAAAGAAACCTGGGTAAGAAGGGCGTCTTCTGTACTGCTTACCATACTTAGAGTAATGGCCTTGGCCTTTTGCTGTATTTCATTTTGATCATGTACAAAAAATTTAATCATTAGTTAACCTGTTTCAACAAAAAATTTTTCAAAGTCACCTGATCACTTCTACCCTCCCTCCTAATAAAACAAGGATACAATATAGAATGTGAAACTCTTTTAGAAGATATAGCAAGACTCTTTTTATCTGCATTAATAATTATAGAATACCTACTTGTTCCTTTTAATTTTTAAAAATGTAATATATGTACATGTTTAATATTTAATATTAAGTTCACATGGCATAGTCACAGTGTTTTTTTTTAAGATTTTATTTATTTATTTGAGAGAGAGAATGAGAGGGCACCTCATCCATGGTATTTTTATACAAAATTACAATTACAGTGTTTTTTTAATTGATTGTAGATCAAATAATACAGTAATGGATATTTTGTATATATTACTTCCTGTATATGTGCCAGAGTTTCTCAGCGGTGTCTGCCTGGGGTAAAATTACTGGATCTTATAATAAAAATAAGTACATATTTTCCTTCACTAAATATGGCCCCTTTCCAAAATAGTTGTCTCAAAATATTCTCAGTAGAAAGTGATACATTGTCCACAATAGCCAAACTGTGGAAAGAGCCAAGATGTCCATCGACAGATGAATGGATAAAGAAGATGTGGTATATATACACAATGGAATATTATGCAGCCATCAAAAGGAATAGGATCTTGCCATTTGCAACGACGTGGATGGAACTGGAGGGTGTTATGCTTAGTGAAATAAGTCAATCAGAGAAAGACATGTATCATATGACCTCACTGATATGAGGAATTCTTAATCTCAGGAACAAACTGAGGGTTGCTGGAGTGGTCAGGGGGTGGGAGGGATGGGGTGGCTGGGTGATAGACTTTGGGAGGATATGTGCTACGGTGAGCGCTGTGAATTGTGCAAGACTGTTGAATCACAGATCTGTACTTCTGATACAAATAATGCAACATATTTTAAGAAAAAAGAAAAAGAAGAAGATAGCAGGAGAGGAAGAATGAAGGGAATAAGTCAGAGGGGGAGACGAACCAGGAGAGATGATGGACTCTGAAAAACAAACAGGTTTCTAGAGGGGAGGAGGGTAGGGGTTGGGTTAGCCTGGTGATGGGTATTAAAGAGGGCACATTCTGCATGGAGCACTGGGTGTTATGACAAACAATGAATCATGGAACACTACACCAAAAGAAATGATGTAATATATGGTGATTAACATAACAATAAAAAATTAAAAAAAATAAAATAAAAATAAATAAATTAAAACAAACAAAAAAAAGAAAGTGATACATTGTCCACCATTGTCGGCAACATTGATATTGTCAGCTTTAAAATTTTTGCCTCTTCGGTGGATGTGCAATTGTGATATTAATTTGCTGATTACAAGGAAGTTGTCCTTTCAGATATTTTGGCCTTTAGATTTCCTTTTCTTTTTCTCTTGGGCTATTTGTCCTTTTATTGACTTTATGAGTCTGGTTTTTAATGTTTTGTCAGGTATGTGTGTTGTAAATAACTTCTCCCAGTGTGTGGCTTGTCTTGTGTGTATATACATCTTTGAATTAAAGTTTAAAATTTTAGTGTATTAGACTTTTCATTTTTTCTTTTATGGTTTATGCTGTATTCTGACTTAAGGGATTCTTTTTTTTTTTTAAGATTTTATTTTTTTATTTGAGAGAGAATGAGAGATAGAGAGCACGAGAGGGAAGAGGGTCAGAGGGAGAAGCAGACTCCCTGCCGAGCAGGGAGCCCGATGTGGGACTCGATCCCAGGACTCCAGGATCATGACCTGAGCCGAAGGCAGTCGCTCAACCAACTGAGCCACCCAGGCGCCCTGACTTAAGGGATTCTTAAAGGCATAAAGATTCTCCTGTATTTTTTTCTAAAAGCTTACATTTTATATTTCAAGTATAAGTTGTTAACACATATGGGAAATATTTTGTTGGATGATATAACTTAGGGATTCACTTTTGTTTTTATTCTTTTCAAATGGATACTGGCGCCATTTATTGACAGTTTCAATGCGTTAATGTGTAGTATCAACTCTGTCATAAATAAAGTGAGGGTTTGCTTTTGACCTCTCTATTCTGTTCTTTTGATATATTGATTCCACTGTATAATAGCATACTGCTTTATTGACTCTAGCTTTTTAATACAGTCTCTCTTTTATTGTACTCTCTTGATTTCCCCAGGAAGGCCATCCAGTTGATAGGTGATTGCAATAAGTAAGTCAAGATACTTACCTGAGATGTTGATCTCGGGGAGTTGTATTCCTCGAGCACTGGAGCTCTTCCCCATCCAGTGTTGGCCCAGGAACTGTCAAGGGTTTTACCTAGCAGGGCCTTGTTAAATCATTAGTCACGTGATCATCCACTCTGTCTACCCTGCCTTTGTCCGTCTGACTTAATATCTTCTCAGTATGTTTTCCATCTCCTAGAGATAGGGAAGTTTCCCATAGACCTCTTCTTGCATATATTGTGAACATAGTTTGGGGAGCAGCGAAAAAAGATCTATGTTATTCTCTCCTATTGTTGTTTTATCAGTGTATTCCCATCTCTCTCTCCTGAATGAAATCTGTTTAGTATACTCGATCCATAGAAATGAACATTTTAGATCTAGAAGGGGACTTACTAACTTTTTTTTCTCATTTTACAGGTAATTCTTTTTTCAAGATCACATAATTAGTTAGTGGCAGAGTCAGGTCTCTTCAACATTTTCTTCTTGCAAATGATTTTGGGTCTTAATTAGAATCATAAAAGTGATACATTATAGTAGCTTATTGTCTCTTATTCTCTATTTAGATGTTACTATTAGATCATTTTGAGTAACTTGGCACAGGCCTGCTAATATAAATGTTACTAGTGCTAAATCTTAGCCATAAGTTGGGCCATGTGTAGTGTATACTAAATATGTTATGTATACTTTTAATGTCTGTAGAACAAGTTCTTTTCTTATTAATCTTTTTTAAGCTTTTCTTGATGATTTTATGCATTTAATCTTGCATGTGAACTTTAGAAAATACATATAATTAATATGATTAATATCAGCATTTAATATTATAATTACATAGTACATATGTATGATATAAATAATCATCCATCTCTTACCCTGCCACAGAAAAAGACAAAAAGCAGTTTGGAATTTTTTACTGAACTTGTATCAAAGTTTTAGATTAATTTGGGATGAACTGATTTCTTTCCATGATGGAGTTTTTATCATTCAGGAACCTGCTATGACTCTAAGATCTTTGATTTTCTAGAAAAACTTTCTATAAATATTTTAAATTCATAGGAATGGTATTGAGAAAAAGAAAACTTTTTTTTTAGTAGCAAACAGAATATTAGAACTGGTATGAATGATAATCATATATTTAAAATGCCATCAAGTATTGAGTTTATAGTAGGACTTTCTGTTCATTCAATAAACATTGTGATGGAGGTATAAGCAATGATACTTGTATTGCTGGTTTGGTCAAGTTTTAAGTTTGGATTTATAAGATACAACATTTGAAACTTTTTTTTTTTTTTTTTTTTTTTTTGAGCAGGGTCATTATAATGCTCCAGATACTGGAGGTAGAATGGTGCTCAACTGAGCTGTAGTATTGCTCCCTACAAAGTTCCCAGCATCTGGCTGGAGAAATAGACATTCACCATACAAGGAATTACTCATGTTCTAAGTACTGTGAAGGAAAAGTATAGGCATAAGAAAATGGACAGGACCTAACTTACTTGGGAAGGGCCATGGGGGTTGTCAGGCTGTTCTTCTTGGTGATGATGTTTAAACAAAGGCCAGAAATAATACTAGGAGTTCCTAGATGAAGAAGTAGATCTACAATTTCCCAGTTAGTAAGAACAACTCAGTGTGTGTAGAAGAGGTTGGTGCATTTGAGGAGCCAAAAGAGGACTCTGTCACTCGAACTTGATGTGGGGAGGGACTTGAAATGAGTCTAGAGCCTAGAGTCTGGGAAATGACATGACATCACTTTTTTAAAAATCGCTTTTTAATGGTCACTCAGCTGCCTTGTAGAAAATGGACTAGAGGGGGTCAAGAGTAGATATGGAGAGAGCTTTCCTAAAAGGCCACTTACAGTTACCTAGGTGAGAAACAATGGGAGCATTGCAGCTAGGGGAGTGACAGCAGACATGGAGAGAAGTTGCAGAGATAGGTAGGAGATGCAGTTCTCGGGGTTTGATGATGTATTGAGTATGTGGAGTGATGGAGGAAGTATCAGAGAGCATAGTTCGGCTTAGGCATTCAGTCACACGTTTTGAGTACTTTGTTTGAAGAGGGCATTTCTAACATGTATTCTGGAAGAGAATATGATATTCAGTGCCCTTTGATGATGATGATGATGATCATGTTTTTTCCATGCTGTAGATATTGCACCACCATATTGCCTTAGTAGAGAAACTAGCTTTGACTACTTCTGGATGCCCACTGGTGATTCAGTGCAAGAACTTCAGGATTGTGCATTTCATTGTTCCCAGAGAAAGAGATTGCCATGATATTTACAATTCTTTGCTACAGCTGTCAAAACAAGGTACTGTTTTTAGAGACCAAAGCTTACTTAGTGTTGAGATGGATTATCTAAGATACTTAATATGCCATTGTTACTTTATACTTGAAGTTACTCTTAAGTTCTTGTGCACTCTATTCCAAAAAGTTTGACTTGGAAATAATTAGATGCTTCTGATCTGAATCGTAAGAATGGTTTCCAAAGAAGGAGTAAGAGTAAGGAAAAAGTTAAACATTTAGAGTACAGAGTTTAAAAACCATAGATTTTTATTAATGTTTTTAAAATTTGTTGGTAGCCAACAGCACAGCTTTTTTTTTTTTTTTTTAAGTGGGTATCCACAACCAAGGGGAATAACTTGGAAATTGATTGCTGAATGAAAAGTTAAGGAAGGTCAGGCTCCTCTGGTAGCAGTGGGACCAGTGAATTTAACTGACCAGAGTGGAGCATAAGGGAGATGACCAGAGGGAAAAGAGAGGGTGAATCCTACTTTACTAGAGGTGGGAGTGAGAGGAGTGTAGGCCAGAAAGAGGAATCCTGTCACTATGCCTTTGGGATCTGGAGGCTTTCTTCCCCCAACTTGACTTGAATTATGTAGATCTCTCCAAGAGACAAAGCACACTGGTTACTGAATGTTACTTTGTTGTTGAACACCTGGACTGCAGTGGTCTAGGAGCAGGTGTACACCCTTCTCTCCTAACACATAAAGCCTAGGAAGTTATCCCCCATTGTCCCAAGTTAAGCCAGATCTTATTATAAAGATGGTTCTGTCACTTTTGGGGACTTAATATTATTCAGGAGTAAGTGCTCTCTGGAGCTCTCTGCAGCCATTGCCAGTTTTGGTCAACACTGTCCTATAGGATTGTATATGCAATTTCAAGTTCTATATGCCACCTCTAATTTTTTATCACAACATTAGTATTTCCATTTTATATCTCATTTGGGAAGTGTAGTGAGTGAGAAGTGTCTGTGTCTGTGTCATTAAAACTTTAGTTTTAAGAAAAGGAAATACTACACTAGAGTATTTAATATCAAAGTATTGTTTATTAGCTTTTGCTGATATAAATTGAATCTCTGATATGTATGCCTTTAGATATGATCGTTTGAATTAAAGAACTGAGAACATAAATTGAATTCAGATAATAGTTACCTCTTTGAAAATTTTAAAGAAAAAATGGAGGGATAAAGCTGAAAAATTACTATTATTTGTAGAGTGTTAAGTCCTAGAAGTTGCATTGTAACATTTATGTATTTTGTATACTATAGCAAAATATGAAGATCTCTATGCATTCTCTTATAATCCCAAACAAAATGATTCGGAACGACTACAGGGTTGGCAGCTCATTGACCTTGCCGAGGAATATAAGAGGATGGGAGTGCCGAATTCAAACTGGCAGCTGTCTGATGCCAACCGAGAATACAAGGTAACTTTTTATTTACATTCCAGGTAGTTAACATACAGTGTGATGTTAATTTCAGGTGTACAATATAGTGATTCAGCACTTCCATACAGCACCCGGTGCTCATCACAAGTGCGCTCTTTAATCCCCATCACCTGTTTCCCCCATCCCCACACCCACCTCCCTTCTGGTAACCATCAATTTGTTATTTACGGTTAAGAGTCTGTTGGTTTGCCACCCTCTTTTTTTTTTTTTTTACCCCCCTTTGCTCATTTGTTTTGTTTCTTAAATTCCACATATGAGTGAAATCACATGGTATTTGCCATTCTCTGACTGACTTATTTCGACTTGGCAATTCTTTGGAGAAATTCAGAATTCATAGTAGCAAGTTGTCTACATATTGCTATGTACTCTTCTTGCATTTAATAAGTTTTAAAGTTTTTTAAAGGTGATTTTTAACCTCATAGTTTTTGAAATGTGAGTAGAATGGTTATGTTTTATTTGATTTTTACAGATTTGTGAAACTTATCCCAGAGAACTTTATGTTCCCCGAATAGCAAGCAAACCAATAATTGTTGGTAGTTCCAAGTTCCGGAGCAAGGGAAGATTCCCAGTTCTTTCCTATTATCATCAAAATAAAGAGGTAACAAGAGAAGATTTTCTTTTTTTATTTTACAAATGTGGTATAACCCCTTTTCAGGTTTAAGTATCCAAATGAACACTCATTTATACATAGGGAGGTCATTATAATGTTGCTGATAGAGAAGTGTTGGCTTTTCTCTTGATTACGTTTTTGAAATTTTAAAATTACCCTGACATATAGAAACTTTCATACTTGTCATCTTTCTTTCCTCCCACATCCTCCTTCAGTCTTTCTTTTCTTCTGGTAGGGACTTAAAAATAATGAGATTAGTGAACACATAGGTTCTTCTTTCCTGTGGTTCTCTTTTGATACTGCTTATATTTAGGAAAACCAGATAGTTTTGACAAACCAACTATTGAGAAAAAGAAGAGAACCAAGGGTATTTCAGGCTCTCAGTTTTTATAGAAAGCTCTTCCAATCAGAAGGATTTTGCAATACGAAGAGGTGGAGGAGACATCTTTATACTGAGATGCTGTAATAGGGATTGCTCATTACAGCAAAATTTTCCTTTTGTAGCTTGTAACAGTAGACCACAAGATCCTATGTGTTAGATGCTTTATATGCATGAAATCCCATGATAATTTTATAAGGTAGGCTCTGCTGATTTCTTGTAACTTTCAACCTGTAAAGAGAGGGTAAATCACCTTTCCTATATCTAACAGCTAGCAAGTTGTGGAGTTCCATGCCAGTTCTGACTCCCACTGCTTTGTGACCTGATTTTTTCTCCTCAGGAAGCTTTTAGAATCTTTTCTCCCCAGTGTCCTGAAATTTCACAGTGAAGTGCCATGGCGTGTTTTTTTAAATCTATCTGGGAACTCACTTTTGGGAAATTACTTCTCTATTTCTGTGGTAACTTCTTCTCTTACTTTCCTTTGTACGTGTGTGTGTGTGTGTGTATGTTACTTGGCAAGTGGGCCTCTCTAAACCTCCGTTTTTCTTAATTTTCTCTCCTATTTTCCATCTCTTTCTAGTTTTTTAGAAGATTTCCTCAACTTTTTTTCCAGTCCACCTCTTTATTTTTGCTATACTGTTTTTAAAATCTAAGAACTCTTTCCTATTTTCTGAACTTTTTAGACACTTTTCTATTCTTGGCTATGATGACTGGGTTCTCTGAAGACATTAAGGATTTTTTTTGAAGAATTCTTTTGCTCCCCACATTAGTTGTCTGTTGCTCAGAGTTCCTTTTTTCTGTTTATTTTGTTTGTTTCTCATGTCTTTCAAATATCTGATTCTTGGCTGGCCTCTCATACTTAAAGAGTGAGGTACCACAAGCTTGTTTAGAAGTTTGTGTGCATGAGCTATCTCTATCTTTGGATTATTTCTGTTGTTAATTTTCATCCCAATATGTGTGTTAGTTCTGTCCAGGATTCAAGTGTGCGAAGGCGGATGGGAGGATCTCATATTTTGTTTTGTAGGCTTTACTTCATCCTCTTGTTGTGGGGGGTACAGGGCTTCGCTCCCACCCACATCTGTGCATATTGTCCAGAGTCTTCAGGTTAATCCTTTTCATAGAATAAACTTTGCCTTCAGGGCGAGGGAGGATCTGGGAGCCTGAATTAGCCCCTATATGGATATTCAACCAATTCTGTTTTCAGTTATACTCCAGCTCAGGCTTTCAGAGGTACCAAATCTTGAGCCTTTCTGGGATTTTGCTGCTCAAAATGCTTGCTTCTTGTTAACTCATAACAATTTGGCAACTTTCTTTGTTCTGGTAAATTGGTCATTACTAGCTTGTACAATCTGCTTTCATTTCCTGAAATTTTATTAACATCTCTACTCTATTTTTCTCTCCTTTTCCATTCTCTTTGATCTTTTGATTTTATGCATTTTAGATGTCTTTATTAGGACTTTAGTTGCGTTTTAGAAAGGAGCCAGAGGTAAAAAGTAAAACTTTAAACAAATTCCTAATCATAGTTAGGAATAACAAAGTCATAGGGAGTTATGACTGGTTATGGCCTCTGTTTGACACACCCATGTTTGTATACATTGTTTATTGGAAAGCTGAACTCAAAATAGATATTCACTGCCTAACTTAAATCAGAAAGTACGTCTGAAAAGAATTTTACAAAGCAATCCTCATTTTCTTCTATTTTATTAAATTCACATGGTTTTATTTTGTCTGTGAATTTAAAATGTGAATTTATGTATACTTTTTTTTCCTTAATGATACTATGGTTGGAATGATTGGGTAGAGTTAAGTTGGAGTTGGTATGGATGAGATTGGAGATAAAATATATGGGTCTAAATCTTCTAATCTTTTTTTAAGATTTTGAACAAAAGTAAATATCTAATCCACCATTCACTATTTCTTACAGATATTTTTACCCTCTTAGATTTATGTTTTAACTCAAATTTGAATTGAAGTTCATTTTTCCCATTTTGTGTCTCATTTTATATTGCTGATTTCTAGAGATCTGAAAGCTTTTGGAATATAAGAGCTCAGATGTTGCTATTTTTAAAAATCCTGTTCTATCTTTATTGATTAATCCCTTACTTGAACTTGAATTGAAAGTATCTTGTAATCTAGAGCATAGCATGCAAGTATCTTAGTAGGTTACACGATAGAGAATTGACCAAGTGTTGCTTCTTAGGACTTAAGATTTTTGCATCAAACTATGTAAGGAGGCATTTCACTTTTTCAGAAGAGAATATTAGGAAAACTTATGTAACATCAAGATGTTCACATAGTGTTTAATTCAAATAGGATTTCAAGGTTAATGTCTTCTAATTATCCTGCCAACTTTTAAACAGATTACATGTTTGATTTTAACTTTTGTTTTTCTTTTAAGCATTTTTTTTTAAGAAATGTTTTAGACATCTTTGGATAATCTGTTGTTTTCTGTCCTTTTAAAATTAGGCTGCCATTTGTCGATGTAGTCAACCACTATCAGGATTCAGTGCCAGGTGCCTGGAGGATGAACATTTGCTTCAAGCCATTAGTAAAGCCAATCCAGTCAATCGCTATATGTATGTCATGGATACCAGGCCCAAAGTATGTGTCTTGAATCTAGTACAGTCTGTTAGTTTAATTATCTTTGTTACTTTAATTAATGAGAGTTAATCAATTTGCCCATATTTAACCTATCTGAATCCTGGTTTTAAATTGACTGAGGCTAATGATAATGAGGAAAGCAATCTTTTAAAGGATACCAACTTAAGAGACCTGTTTCCCAGATGGTGATTTCTTATGTCTTCTGATTTATATATAAATTTAGAAAAACAGATTTTTATATTGGGAACTCTTGATGGTGTGGAAGACTTACATTATTGTGAAGAAATGTTAAATTGTGTGTTTGAAAAATTATATGAAAATCTTATTAATTTTTTTGGTAGACTTTTTCATGGTCAAAACACTGTGTTTGTTAAAATAATGGGCCTTAATTTGAAATATACAAGAAAATAAGGAAAATAGTAAGTTAGGAAACATTGAACTAGAGAATTATAAATAGTGAACTGGTACATATATACGATGGAATATAACTCAGCCATCAGAAAGGATGAATACCCACCATTTGCATCGACATGGATGGAACTGGAGAGGATTATGCTAAGTGAAGTAAGTCAAGCAGAGAAAAAACAATTATCATGATTTCACTCATACATGGAACATAAACAATAATGCGCAGGACCATAGGGGAAGGAAGGAAAATCTGAAGGGGGAGAAATCAGAGAGGGAGATGAACCATGAGAGACTATGGACTACGGGAAACAAACTGAGAGTTTCAGAGGGGAGGAGGGTGGGAGGAGGTGTAATAGGTTGATGGGCATTTAGAAGGGCAAGTGTTATGATGAACACTGGGTATTATATGGAACTAATGAATTATTGAACACTACATCAGAAACTAATGATGTACTTATAGTGGCTAACTGAACATAATAAAAAAAATCATTCTATAAATACTAGTTGGAGTAGAGAAAATATATCATTTTATCCTCACTACATATTTGTTATACAATAAAAAGAGATCATTTTCACCAATTCAAAACAAAAAACCACACTGGATTTTGAAGACACAGTGCAAAAAACACTAAAATATTCTATAATATTTTAATATTGATTACATGCTGAAATGGTAATATTTTTTCTATTTGGAGTTAAATAAAATATATTACTAAAATTAAAAAAAAATAAATAGTGAAGAGGACATAGTTCCGTTAGGCATCTGTAATGTTAGGTTCCGTTTTTATCATTGAGACAAATGTCAGAATCCCTTTTTCTTTCTATAAACACAGTTAAGCAACTAATTCATATAGGATCCTGAAACTAAAGTAATTAAAATCCTCAAAGGTAATAGCTAACATTACTTTTAATTTTTATTATAGCATCGAATGCAGAGCTGGTGGGCTACACAAAAGGACATTGGCAGAATTATAGTGAGGATTTCTTCAAAAATCTGGAATGATGAGAAAATAAGAGAAAGCGATGAGAAAAAGCGAGTGAGCGATATAGAGCACAATTTTAGGCAGCTTTGTTGAAAGGAATGGTAGCTGTTTAGAAGTTATTCTCATCATTATGCATTCTCACAAAAGATAATGGAGGAAACAGAAGATGGGATTAATATGAGTAAATTAAGTATTAAAAACTAGAAATTGATAATTTGATAATTTTTTATCTTGTTAACAAGAAAAGACTTTCTTAGAAGTCAAGAATGTTGGTGATATCTCTTGTAAGACAAATTTTATTTTTCTTCCTTGTTTAATCTGGGTGGATTCATTGGTCAGAATTACTTCTAGGTAATACTAGGTATAAAAGATGGTTCAAGAGTTTCTGAATATGAGGCCTGAGGGTGATCTGTTTCCCAGGACCTAGTACCTCTATTTGTATAATTGACTTCTACACAGAAAATAGGCCTTTCTTTGATTGTTTTGTTTGTACTATTTAAACTTCAACTTAACTAGTAGTAATGAAGCATTTTAATATCTAACTCTCACCTAAGTCATCATAGGTGCTGAATAACCAGTGAGTCAGTAGGTAGAATTGAACTGTTCTTTTTACCAACCTGGGCCCCTATCTACTGAATGAAAAGCTACTTTTTCTTCCAATTTAGGTTTTGTTTCATCCAAATTCATAAGAATATTTTGTAAACTGTAATAATGTGCAATATGAAATCCTAGTCTCAAAGAATTAAACATACCAAATCTGAAATGAACCTCTTGACAGCATTGGGCGTGGGCCTGCTGGCAGTCTGTCTTCCCCTTAGAGACCAATTTTGGCCCAATTCTTGGAGATATATCAAGCTAGTGGATTATATGCCATATATACTGTGTGGGCCTCCAGTAATCTCCAATATGGAGGACCTCAAATAATCTGACGTGTATTTCAGATCTGATTTTTCAGGGTCCCTGTGGCTCTCTGAATGATCATATGTTCCACAGGCTTGCTCTGAAGTGAATCTAACAGGTTCATTCTATAACCGGAAACTTCCCAGCTTGGCTCATCTCTGAATCATTTAGGATTCAGATAAGAGATACTTCTTTCTTTTTTACATTTTGAAATATTATAAACATATGGAAAACTGACTAATAAGTGAATTAGTTTCATAAATTATTTGTGGTGGAACTTCTTCTCTGACCTTTCCATTATATAGCAGTCATGTTGTTACTTTATATAAAGTATTCTTCTTTACTCTTAATAACATATGTGACACTTTTACTTATTAAAAACGGTAGCATATTCAGTTTGGAAGAGTTCTTTAAACTCTGCTAAAATGTGGTTTATTTAGTATTTTCATGATGTTTTGGTAAACTAAGTTAAGAGATAAAACCAATTTGTCTCTAAATTTCTAAAACTTTAAATTTTAGCTGAATGCAATGGCCAACAGAGCAGCTGGAAAAGGTTATGAAAATGAAGACAACTATTCTAACATTAGATTTCAGTTTGTTGGAATTGAAAATATTCATGTCATGCGGTCCAGCCTTCAGAAATTATTGGAAGGTATGATTATTTTTTGCCTTTGAGGCAACTTTGTCTAATAGAAATATAATGTCAGCACATTATAAAATTAAGGATTATGTAATTTAAAATTTTCCTATATCCACATTCAAAAAAGTAAAATAAAGTTGAAATTAATATATTTTGCATAATGTATTAAAAACATGTTAACATGTAATCAGTATAAAAAATTAGTAATGACGCATTTTAGGTTTTTTCCCTTAACTCTTAAAAATTGACTAGTTTGTATTTTACACTGTTACACCACATCTCAGTTTGGATTACCCACGTGTCAGTTTGGGTAGTAGCTACTATATTGGACAGTACAGTTCTAATGGTTTTGCAAAAAAAAATATTCTTGCTTAGTCTGTACAGTGAAGATTAATTGATAATAATGCTCCATTTAAGTATTAAGGTATCTTTCCAGTTGTGGTATGGAATTTTAAAAATTAAAATATCAAACTTTTAAATTAAGCACTTCATACACCAAATTTTTTTTCTTAAAAGAGATTGGAGCTTTTTTTAAGCACAAGGAATGACAGTAAATTGTACCCAAAAAATCCAATATTGAGGTTCTGATAGCATCTTTTCATTTATAGAGTCTCGTTTTTTATTTTGTCCTCTTCCTCCCAATTCACTCACTCAGAGCTTGAGTAGGAGAAGTGGACACTCTAGCTGCATTCTAATGAAATGTTTTTTTCGCCTTTTTAGTCAATGGTACCAAAGGGCTTTCTGTCAGTGATTTCTATTCTGGTTTGGAGAGCTCAGGATGGCTTCGCCATATCAAAGCTGTTATGGACGCTGCAATCTTCTTAGCCAAGGTAACTCTTCTTCGTTCATATTTTGTTTGAGGATTTATAATGGTTGGGAAGGAATGCATTTATCCTGTTGGGTGCTGCTACCCTTTCCAGTCAGATAACTTTTATGTTTTACCTCTTTAATGAGGCTTACTTTAATTTGAGCATTAAAAGATCATGTAGTACTTCGTGTAGGGATTTAAAAAGAAACCCCCAGACACTTTGGAAACAGCAATTTTGGTTTTGTTTTTTGTTTGCTTTGTGTTTTGTCTTGTTTTTTTGGCAATTATGCTATGACAGCGTTATCATTACAGTCCTTGCTCTCCCTTGTAATGCAATACTTGCTAGTATAGTTTGAGTAAGTAGACCTTAATTGATGTACCTAAATTCTGCTATAATCTAAGTATGTGATCTTTCTTTTCAGGCAATAATGGTTGAAAATGCAAGTGTGTTGGTACATTGTTCTGATGGTTGGGATAGGACTTCCCAGGTTTGTTCCCTTGGCTCTCTTTTATTGGATTCCTACTACAGGACAATCAAAGGATTCATGGTAAGGAGTGATTTGGCTAGACCAGTGATTCTCAAATAGGAATGATTTTGTCCTCCCAGGAGACATTTGGCAATGTTAGGAGAGTTTTGGTTGTGACAAAGAAAAGGGTACAACTAGCACTTAGCTGGTAGAGGCCCAGGATACTGCTAATATTCTGTACCACAGAGGATAGCCCCTGCAATAAAGACCTAACTGGCCCAAACTGTATTTAGTGCTGAGGTTGAAAAACCTTGAGTTAGACTGATTTCCATTTGTGCCATCTCTTTGACAACAAGTTTTGAATATAGAAGTTTTTTTTCTAAAATGTTATAGTAGAAATATTCAGTATTTTCCTCTCCATTTTTATACGACAAATGTGAATGATGTAAAACAAGGCAGAAATAGGAGTACTTAAAAATTACGTTCTAGAGGAAACTTTCTATTTAAAATTTCTAATTGAATAGATTTTCTGCTTTGTGAAGCTAAAGCCCTGGCTCCTGTTTTTTGTTTGTCTTTTAACACAAGATCAGATTAACTTATGTTTTCAAAATTTACATCTTAATTCACGGCAAGTAAAGTAAGCGAAGAGACGGTAGAAAGTTTTCATTAGTTTAGAATAATTAAGTACAGTGCCATCCTAAAGCAGGGGAAGGTTTAACATCACCAGATCCCTTTCAGCACCATTATTTGTTGGCACTAACATATTGAGTCTTGGACAGGCTGAATGGGAAGTACTGCTGATAAAATTATGTGCAGCTTACCTTAAGGGTGTAAGATGAGGAATGCTTTCTCTGCCATGTTTGGCTTTAATTGTTTGCCAGACGTTCAAATGAAATCATGTAATAAATGCCCAGGGACAGTGTGAGAGCTTCCCAGGCAAAAGGAACAATGAAAACCAAAGCATAGCTCTCTGTTGGCTGAATGCAAGTGATGTGTGATGGCGGAGTTCAGGGTGTTAGCACGGGGAGCTTGGGTGCAGAAGGATATAGTGGGATGAAGGCCTCAGGAAGAGAAGACTGGAATTTGGCCTTTACCCTCTTTGGGTAGTGAGAGCCATTAAAGGGCTTTAAGTAGAGGAAACAGTAACTTGCTTGGATCTGCTTTGTAAAAAGATGGCTTGGTGTCTTCCAGGTGGAGGGTAGTGGAAATGGAGGCTGGGAGACCAGTATGGAAACTGGAAAGATAACTCCGGAGAGAAAAGAGGGCTAGGAGTAAGGCAGTACCACACGAATGCAGAGGAGGTCATAGGTTCAACCTCCAAGGATGCTGAGAAGGTAGAATCAGTAGGAATTGTTCCTGGATTGGGTGTGAGGAGAGGAGGCCTCTTCCAGGATGATTTCCTGTCTCTGGACTTAGTTGCTAGGATGGATGGTGCTGTTCTCTTGTTCTCTACTGAGAAAAGCAGAAGTCTAAGTTTAGTGAGAAAGACACTGAGTTAAGTTTTAGATGTGGATGTGTAGAGGACCGGCAGAGGGCCTGCAGTAAAGTCTGGGGCTGCAGCCTGAAGACCACTTGCCTGAGGTCATGCAGGTGTGGAAGTGGCAAAGCTAGGATTTGGGCCCATGCAATATGGCTCCAGAAACTGTATCTTTCCCCGTCACATTATATGGCCTTCTGGAAAGATTTATAACAAAGAGAAGCTAAAGGTGGCTGTTTTTTTAAATCCCTGGCATTGAGTACTACCTTCCTCTCCCTCCCTCCCTTCTTTTCTTTTGGCGTGTGTTTCTCCATCTCGTCATTTTGTACAGTAGGAATTTAACCTCCCTGTTCCAGAGTGTGCTCAGCTGAAAGTAAGGAACGTGTTGCCTCTCGGTGCTTCTTCAGTGAGGCTTCTTCTTTCCCCTTAGTTGTGGAGTTTGTTCTGTCAGTCTTCAGGCCGATTTCTGGGGTATTCAGCATGATTTGATAATTATCTGTTTGTGTTTAACTGACAAGACCAGCCTGGGGTCCTCCTACTCTGCCGCCATCTTAGCTTCCCCCACCAAAGGTGGCAGTTTTGACTGAAAAGAATGTACTTGGTGATTATATAATGAAATTATGAGATATATTAAATACTAAGAAGATAGGTTGTATAAATTAGACTGAAAAAATTAGAAGCCTATTACTTCAGTAGAGTTGTGACAGAGAAAACAGATAAAGACAGTCCATTCAAGAGGTTAGATATCACCATATGAATTTGAATATACACTTTTTATTGGTGTCTTTATCATTCTTTTTCTGTTAAGTACCGTATAAGTAATGTACTAGTAAGCCAGAAGGTTTAAAGCATACACCCCAGTCTACCACCTACAGTTCACACTGTTAACATTTTGATTTCCATTTTTATAGCCTTTTTTCTATGCAGATATCATCATTAGACATACAGAAATGTAAATGTGCTAGCGCTTTATAACATGCAGTTTTTACTTAAAATGTAATAAATACAACCTAAATGATTTAAGTCACAGGACTACCGTATTTCTTTTATGTGTCATTTTTACTCTTTGTTAAACCAGTCTCTAATCCAGGTTCTTGCTGTCTTTTGTCTATAATTAAACAAAAGTTTGTTTTGTTTTCAACCATAAGTTAAAAGGGTAAATGCTGTTAAGATAATAGGATTTAATCCATTTTAAACAAAAGAAATTGAAAATAGTTGTAAAATGGGTTTCACTTTTTCTCATTAAGGTTTTAATAGAAAAGGATTGGATCTCTTTTGGACATAAGTTTTCAGAGAGGTGAGTCATAGTTGTACATTTATATATTTTGTAAAATTAGTAAAACCATTTTAGAGTACCAGAATATTTCTGTTCTTCATGAATTCACATATCCAGTGGTAGGTGAGAGTGCTGTCAGGTTTTTTGTATGAAAACTGATTTAATTTTTTTCTGTCATTTCTTTCAATTCTCATACCCTAGTTAAATTTTCATGGCAGTTTATTGCCTTCCTTTTTGTCTGGATTGTGGTACTTAGAAGGCAATAGATCCTTTAAAGTTGTGGTTGAAAAACATAGATTTAAATTGTTTTTAATAAAAACATTATGCTTTTTTTATGACAATAGAATAGTGTTTCAGGTTCATGTGTGTATGTTTAAATTTGCTAATATGTGAATAATTGACTTCTTTCAGAGGCATTTTTAAAAGCTTGTACTTTCTCGGGGGTAGGTGTGGCCATTTGGATGGTGACCCAAAGGAAGTCTCACCGGTGTTCACTCAGTTCTTGGAGTGTGTGTGGCATTTGACTGAACAGTTCCCACAAGACTTTGAATTCAATGAAGCATTTCTTCTTCAGATCCATGAACATATTCACTCATGCCAATTTGGAAACTTCCTTGGAAATTGTCAGAAGGAAAGAGAAGAGCTCAAGTAAGACAGTTTGCATAAAATGGGCTCTTTTTTTCCTACTTGGTTGAGGTCTAACATAAATCATAGTGGAACATAATAAAATATCTTGACAGTATGTAATAGAATTGAATTTTGTCGTAAAGATTTTTTTGTCTCTATTTCTGAAGCTAAGTGCCCTCTCTCCCTCACATCCTCAGGTTAACAGTAAAAACACATTTTAAAGAATTTGTTTTGAAATGTAGCATACATATAGAAAAGTGCATATGGCATAAGTGCGAAGCTCAGTAAATCTGAAACTCATCCATCTGTGTAACCAGCACCCAGAACAAGAAACCTTACCAACACCCTGGAAACCGCCATTCTACTCCTTTCTAATCTGAATATATATTTAGAGCAGAAAACTATTAACTTATTTCATTTCTTAGAAAGTATTGGTCACTAAGCTTTAAAGTTTGGTTAAAGATTTTTAAAAACTGTTGGTTTTAAGGTAAGATGAAGCCTTACAGTTTTCCTCCCATTTCTAAACAGATATTCTCTGGGGAAAATAGATCTGTGTTAGCTGTAGTGTGTCTGTCCCTGAGTTGGGTCTCGTACCTCTTCTTTCCTAACCAATCTTTGGGAGTAGGGGTTTCTGGCTAAATTTTGATGCAAAGAAAATGTGGGGTAAGGCTGTGAGAAGTGCTTAAATAAAAATTCTTTTTAGGTTGGGTTTCTGAGTTTAGAGTTCTTACAAGTCAATAAAGAGCAGTTATAGATTCTTGAATGTCCAAGTGACATATTAGAGAAGCTAAATCCGGTAGTAGTTTGAAGACAGCCACATACTCTCACTCTCAACAGAATTGAAGGCAGAACTGAGAGCACTTGGAAGATTCTAAAGATGTGTAAAGGGAATTACAAGTGAAATCAGAGTATGACAGGTGAACAAATCAAAGAGCATTCAGACTTTAGCTCTGTGCCATAGTAATTCACAGTAGTGTGTCATAATTTGGAGCAGGTGACTCTTAGAGTACAGAGCTCTTTTAGGAAAAACTGTTCTTCCCAGTTAGTGCCAAACATCCTCTTACAAAGGAAGATGGTAATAAAAGCACTTATTTCCTAGTAGTCTTTCTCTAAGAACTTACTTACTGGTCATCTTAGGGGTCATAGAAAAATGAGCAGACTCTCCATTTTTCCCCTGTATGTTTATTTGGTAAATATACTATCTAAACCATTCTACCCTTTATCCACTTATTTCACCTAAGTTACTCTTAGAGTTGCAATATGATTGGCATCTTTTTACTGTTGAATAATGTCCTGATTTTTCCTAATTCCCTTTTTTTTTTTTTGCTACTCACATTTAAATTTGTCCCTGCTCTATGAGACATGTTATTACAGCCCAGATATAGGGCTAAGAGAATGAGGCCCAAGAGTGATGCAAGTGTCTTTACTCTGTGTACATGTGTATGGTGATGTGAACTAGGTATAACAGAGGCCATGTTTAGGAAATGGTGTGAGTTCAAAGGAATCTCTTAACGTGTATGGTTGTGAGAGAAAATGGTAGACCTGTGTTGTGTTCGGAGAAACATGGTTTTATTTATTTCATGATTATAAGTGAAAGGAGAAAAGGGAGAATAAGAATTCAGAGACAAGGTGAGGTTAGGTTGCGAAGAGAAGGAAAAATTAAAACTTAAATCTACTTGGGAAACAATTACCTGGTTTGTAAAAATGAGTATTAGCATCTGTGGGAAAGATCTTTGTTTTTCTCATTACATTAAGGTTAAAGGAAAAGACTTACTCCCTGTGGCCATTTCTCCTGGATGACCAAAAGAAGTACTTAAATCCTCTCTACAGCTCCAAATCTCCGAAATTTGCAGTTTTGGAGCCAAATACAGTATCTTTCAATTTTAAGTAAGTTGGCATCATTGAGGTACTTATACTTGATTTTTCTCAAACACAATTTACTGAGTTGTTTTTTGTTTTTGTCATAAAGGTTTTGGAGAAACATGTACCACCAATTTGATCGAACATTGCATCCTAGACAGTCCGTGTTTAATATAATTATGAATATGAATGAGCAAAATAAGCAGTTAGAGAAAGATATTAAAGACTTAGAATCTGTAAGTATTCTGAAGTGTCTGATATATTTGAAATATTAAATTAGTGTATTTCCTTACTTATGTTCTCAGTGTAAATTAGTATATATAGAAACCTCATAAGTACACGACTGCTTCCAAATCAGATCTCCTCTACTTTCAGTATGTTAGTTTGAATTGCTTTCCCTGAATTTTAACATTGAAGTATTTGAAGTACAGTTGACCTTTGAACAACATCGGTTTGAGTTGCACAGGTCCACTTACAAGTGGATTTTTTTTTGATAAAAGTACAGTACTGTAAATGTATTTTCTCTTGTGATTTTCTTAGTAACACTTTTTTTCTCTAGATTACTTTATTGTGAGAATATAGTATTAATACATACAACTTACAAAATATGTGTCAATTGAGTCTTTATGCTATTGTTAAGGTTTCCAGTCACGAGTAGACTATTAGTAATTACCTTTTGGGGGGAGTCAGAAGTTATATATGGATTTTTGATTGCATGGGGGGTTGGTTCCCCCAACCCCTGTGTTGTTCAGGGGTGAACTGTATATAGAAAGGTAGAGTTATGAACATAATAAATATCAGGGAATCCACCACCTAGCTTTGTGAGATTTTAACATTTATCATATTCGCTTCAGATCTTTCATGTTTTTGTTTTAAGAAATGAAACGTGATAGGTATATTTGAAGAAATATACTCCTCCTTAGCCCTCCCCACCTGCTTTGGGCTGAATTTGGGGTTAATTGTTCCTGTGCATATTTTTGTACTTCTATATATGTTTTTATCCCCTATTTATAATATTGTTTTGTGTGATTTGAAATATTTTTATTTTATATTGAAGAAGTACAAAAGAATATATTTTTATAAGGCATAAAAGAGCAACAGAAACATGAAGGCACATGTACCCTTCACCGAGCTTAAGGAACTGCATGTTTTAAAGGTTGTTACACTGTCATGCTTCATTTTACTCAACATTGTTTTGAAATTTATCCATGTTGATACATGTAGCTTTAATTCTTGTGTTTTATTAATAACTACTGTATAACATTCTCTTATATGCATATATCACAGTCTATCCATTCAGCTACCGCAGAACATTTAACTTGTTCTCAGTTTTGTATTTCCATGATAACAAAGGAAGTTGAATGAGTTTGCATATATTTGCTGGCCATTTCGTTTTTCCTGTTCTCTGAATGGCCTATTCAAACCTCCACTTATTTTTCTGTTGGTATATTTGCCTTTTCCTTATTGATCTGTAAGATTCTTTATACACCAGACATTAGTTCTTTGTTAGATATCTATCTATCTATCTATCTATCTATCTATCACAAGTGGCTTTGTTTATTCTGTGTTCTCGTCTTTTTCATTTTATTTATGGTATGTTTTGTATAGATGTTTTGAATTTTAATGCAGTCAATTGCACTCTTTATGTTTTATGCCTTCTTTTGTATCTTGTTTAAGAAGTCTCTCTCGACCATAAGACTTTCTTGTAATCTTTTCTCTGTCATCACATATAAGCAAAAAGGATCGGTGAGTCCATACTTTAAAAATCCTAGACAGTTGGTATAACTCCGACTGTCGTGTCTGCCTCTCAAGCAGGACTGTTCCTTAGTCATCTCTCAGATACGGAGGTAACGATAGGAGGATGTGTAAGGAGAGAGGCAAATCCAAGACATAGGTAAATATCAGCAGAGTGGCCAGAGATCAGTCCGGGGATTAGAGAGCATGACACTCTGTCACAGAATACTTTTAAAATCTTATGTTCTGTTTGGGAAAAAAATCCTGTTGGGACACCTGGGGGTGGCTCGGTTGAGTGTCCAACTCTTGGTTTCAGTTCAGGTAATGATCTCAGGGTCGTGAGATCAAGCAAGCCAAAACTGGGAGTCTGCTTGAGATTCTCTCTTTCCCTCTTCCTCTGTTCCCTCCCCTGTTCTCCTGCTCTCTCTCTCTCAAAAATATATAAATAAATCTTAAAAAAAATTAAAAATATAAAAAAATTCTGTTGTGTTCTAAAGCTGGTTATGTTCACCTAACAAATCATTGTAGGGAAACCATGTAAGAAAGTTGTTTAGGTAAATAAGTGTGCGTTTGTTATATTATACAATTATGATTCAGGGTGACGTCTCATACACATTTCTTTTATTATAAAATGTTTACCTTTTATACTTCCCAAGTAATCTATGCCCTTTCAAATATGAAGGCTTGATCTTTTACAGTCAAGCATAATAACCATTTTCCACTGTAAAAGTTTTAAACAATTAGGATTCTCAACCATGTCTTACTCTTCTGCACTAGATTTTATTAATTTTTTTTTAAAGATTTTATTTATTTGACAGAGAGAGACACAGCGAGAGCAGGAACACAAGCAGGGGGAGTGGGAGAGGAAGAAGCAGGTCTCCTGCTGAGCAGGGAGCCTGATGTGGGACTCGATCCCAGGACCCTGGGATCATGACCTGAGCCGAAGGCAGACGCTTAATGACTGAGCCGCCCAGGCGCCCGATTTTATTAATTTTTTGAGATCTTTGTATATTCATAAAGAGGACATTTACAAAAGGATGGTTTTTTTCTTTCCTTTTTTTTTAAAGATTTTACTTATTTATTTGAGAGAGAGAGAATGAGAGATAGCACGAGAGGGAAGAGGGTCAGAGGGAGAAGCAGACTCCCCGCTGAGCAGGGAGCCCGATGCAGGACTCGGTCCCGGGAATCCAGGATCATGACCTGAGCCGAAGGCAGTCGCTTAACCAACTGAGCCACCCAGGCACCCTGGTTTTTTCTTTCATCTAACCTGTATTGAACATGTAGTGTGTGTAATTAGTAATTTTTTTCAAATTTGGATTTGTTCTAGAAAATTAAGCAACGTAAAAATAGGCAAACAGATGGAATTCTCACCAAGGAATTGTTACATTCAGTTCATCCTGAATCACCTACCCTCAAAACTTCCTTGTGTTTTAAGGAGCAAACTCTGTTGCCTGTGAATCATGCTCTTCGAACTATAGAGGGCAGCAACCCAGCAGATAATCGTTACAGTGAATACGCTGAAGAATTCTCCAAGTCGGAACCTGGTGTGGTCAGCTTAGAGTATGGTGTGGCCAGAATGACCTGTTAGATCCGTAGAGTATTTTCTGGACTGACTGTAGTGCAAGAATTGGATTCTTGTGAGAATGATGTGCGCATGACCAAAAGGAATTTGTCAAATAATGATCTTAGAGTTTAATAGTTGAAGAAAGGATAATAACTGCTCTTGTGAGAGAAGTAAGTCCGTTTAATTGCATTTCCAGCAGGGAATGACTTTAAGTTCTTTAAGAAACGAGTGGTGTTGGCAGATTTATTCAAAACACAGTTTGTACTGTATACTAGTGAATTGACATTTCTGTATGATTTATATGTTAATTACAGCCAAACAATTCTGAATAACCTTCCTTAACTATAACTTAATTGCCAGGAAACAAAACTCGACAAAGTTCTCCCTTAATAATTGACATGGCATGTACTTTTGATTATATAACTCTGTAACTATGGATATTTACATATTTTGCCTATTAGTGATGTTTAATGTTGAAGTGCCATGAAAAATATTTTAAGAAAGCCTTAAAATTGCAACTTATTCTTAAGTTTCATAGCCAGGAGCAGGTTTTTGGGTTCTTTGGTTTTTTTTCTTTGGGTCAGCCTTGTTTTTATTTGTAAAGAATTGCACCATCATCACTGCAGGGCCTGCATGCTACAACAGTCCTGTATAAACAGATGTGCACGTACAGTGTTAAGTTCATGGTCAGCTGCTCCCACATCCATATTCAAAATTAATGAAACTGAAGGTTTTATCCTGATTACAGTTTGTACAGTGCTACATTTGATGACATTATTTACAACTTAGATTATTGACTTCTTGAATATGTGTAAACTTATTTGACTGTCTTTTATGTATGGATTACTGCATTCTTTTGATTCTTACTTTGTGGTTGGCTTTATTCCTTGGATAACTGTGTAACTTTAAAAAGCTAAGGCTCTAAAACTGTTCTTAGAAACAACGAAGAATGTGTATGTGTACACACACATACTGTTTTCTCTCTCAATGAGTTGCTCTTCCTAGAACAGGCTTTCAGTTTCCCCCAAACTTTGGGGTTAAAAAAAAGGAAGTACAGATAGTTTAGATTTTGCTTGGTTGCATGAATTTTAAAGCAGCCATTTCTATGTGGAACATTTTTTCTTCTCCATTAACATAGGAATAAAAAAGGAAAATTAAGGATAGCCTAGTACAAAGTTAATGTTTAGCAGGAACAACTTAAATGCTAGGAAAAGTTTCATTTTGCCATGTTATATTAACTGTTCTGTGTGCTACTAACATATCTTTACATGACAAAAAAAAAAAAAAACAATTCACATGCAATTGATGGTATTACCCAGCTGGCTTTAAAATTGAAGGTTTAAGTAACATGACTGACAAGAGGTATGATTCAGGGGTAATAGGAAACCTGGATAGGATCCCTAATGCTTCTCTTTACTGTACTTATATCTATTATATTAGTTTTGAGCATAAATATCTTTTTCAAATGGAAAAAAAGCTTTATTGTATGAGAACTTATCTAATCCTGTTTATTTTTCCAATGCTTTTGTGTAATGCATTATGTAATAAGAAAAATACTGCTTTTTAAACAGTAACAGAAATGTACTATTAAATATAGTTTGTGATTTAGCCAAGCCTATTTCCATACTTAAGCACTGGGACAGAAAACTTAATCTTTGTGACCACAAAGGGAAACTTTTGTGCCTTTTTCCTTGGTTCCAGTTACCGATTATGGTTTTGGAATCTTCCATGGCAGACTTCTTATATTCAAATGTTTTTTTGGTTTATTATTATCTTCAACTTCAGGCATATATATGTGTGTTTATGTGCTCACACATGGACTGAGAAATCAGTTAACATCTTAAGTGACCTACAGGGTATATGTTGGCAAAAAGCAGATTGTGTATATGTCTTACAAAATTTCAGTGTGTTTGGGAATGTATAGCATGTAAATTATTACATATTATTTAAAGGAAATTAAATGTTCATATTTTACTTTGGATGTTTTTCTTTTGGAAAAAAACAAATGGGATCAAGTTGTGATTGGTTTTTTCTTTCCTCACTTAGGCAAATGGACCTGCACATTATACTGATGATAACACTATAAGGTTTGAGCAAGTCATTTTCCAAAAGGTTGATGTTGATAAATTATAACTTACATATAAAAATAATTTCCAAAATATTTAAAATAGGCATAGTGGGCTAAAAGGTTCAGCAAATATAGTTGATAATGTCACTAATTTTGGTGGAAGGCAGTGTCCAGTGAGTGTCTACGGTGTGAAATGTCTCACCAAAGGCAGACCTAGGGATAAAGAGGACGATGAAAATGACTTGCGGGAGAGAGTTTGTATGGGCGTGTTCTGAGAGATTAGCCGGGCCAGAAGTAGCTCAGGGAATCCTGACCGAATCAAGATGGAGGGAAGTCCTTTTTTTTTCTTTAAGTTCTCTTTATTTGGTAGAGTAGCAGGGCAGGGGGGTCGTATCAGGAGCCGCCCCCCCCCCTTTTTTAAAAGACTTTTTTTAAGAGAAGTTTTAGGTTCACAGCAAAATTGAAAGAAAGGTCCAGAAATTTCTTATATACTCCACCAGAGTAGTACATTTGTTACAATTGATAAACCTGCACTGACACATCATAATCACCCCAAGTCCATAGTTTGCCTTAGGGTTCATTCTTGGTGGTGTATATTCTGTGGGTTTTGGACAAATGTATAATGACCATATAGGGTATTTTTCATGGTGCAAACAATCCACTATGCTCTGCCTATCAATCCCTCCCTATCCCCCCAACCCCTGGCAACCACTGATCTTTCTGTTGTCTCCATAGTTTTACCATTTCTAGAGTGTCACATAGGGATCATACAGTGTGTGGCCTTTCAGATTGACGTCTTTCACTTAAGTGCATTTCAGGGTCTTCTATGTGTTTTCATGTCTTGATGGCTCATTTCTTTTTTAACACTGAATAATATTCCATTGTCTGGATGTACCAAGTTTATTCATTCACCTATTGAAGACACCTGGCTTGCTTCCAAGTCACAGCAATTGTGAATAAAGTTGGCTTTAAACATCCGTGTACAGGTTTTTGTGTGGACAGTTTTCAGCTCCTTTGAGAATATACCAAGGAGTGTAATTACTGGGTTGTATATAGTAAGAGCATGTTTAATTTCATAAGAAACTGCCAAACTGTCTTCCAAAGTAGCTGCACCATTTCCCACCAGCAGTGAATGAGAGTGCCTGTTGCTCCACATCCTCACCAGCGTTCAGTATTGCCAGTGTTCTGCATTTGGGCCATTTGAATAGCCTTTTCTGACCTCTTTTTTTTTTTTTTTTCTTCAGGTCAGCTTGAGAGTACTGAAAAATTTTCAGTTGGCATTCTAAGGTGTATGAAATTCTGTTCATTTATAAAACTATTGAGAGCAGTTGCAGACTTTTGTCAGTGATATCGATCCATTTTCTTTGGCCAAGTTTTAGCTATTTTGTTGGCTTTTCCATGCAGTAATCCAAATGGCATTAACATGTTTTGGTTAAGTTAAAATGTAGAACCTATTTTTAAAAATACATATCTGTAAGCTTTAGAAATCTGTCTCTAGAAAAAGACCAACTGTAATCTAAAATCATTGAACATCTGAAGAACAGGATATATACTATGGTACTTCTCAGAAAATAAAACACTGATTTCTGCCATTTTTATGAACACTATTAGTGTTGCTTTAGTTATTTCTAAGCAAGGAAAATATCCTTTTGCACAGCAACTTTTGTAAAGTAGTGGAATGTGTAACTGAAAGCAAATTTCAGAAGTGTGCATTTAATATTTTGGAGCTTCTGTTGCAGAATGATAGGAGTATCACACTCTAAACCACCTACCCCAATCAGTAAGCATCTCTCTTGTTCTGAAAGGAAATGCACAATTACTCTGCTACACAACAGGGGGGGAGAAACCTTTGTTTTAGGCCACTGAGAGTTTAGGTTCTTTGTTACTGTAGCATAACCTAGTTCATCCTGAACCATGAAACCATTAGCACATCCAAGAAGCTAATTATCCTCTGATTTTGTCTAAATTCAGTCTTTCATTGACTCCACATGGGCTTTTCCTTATTTTTGCACTCCTACCCAGTTAAGGTTCATGCATGGCATTTGCTTTTAGCTCTTTAGTCTCCTTTTGAACAGTCCCCTCACCTTCCTTTGCACTGATGTCTTGAACCAGACCAGATATAGAGTATCTTACCACTTCCTGCATTTGCCCAGTTGTTTCCTCATGGTGTAGTTTAACTTGTTCCTCTATCTGCTGTACCTCCTATAAAGTAGGCATTAAATGAGATTCAGATCAAGCATTTTAGGAAAGATGCTTTGCACTTCATATTGAATTACTCAGGAGGGTATAATATCAGGCTGTTCCACTATTTTGATAAGTTTGATCACTTGGTTGATCTCTCCTTATAAAGGAGAGGTCTCCTTTAAGTTGGTTTCTCTCCTTTGCACTTAGCAAATGCTCAGCCAGGTGTTATTTTGACATCAAAATGAATATCCCATTCCCTAACAACCTGCGCATTGATGATAATTGCCTGAATCAGTTATTTCATTCGGTGTTCCAAAATGGCAATTTTCCAATTTGCCTTTAGATTTACATTTATTTGGTGGTATTCTTTAAAGAAGTGCTTTCAGGGGCACCTGGGTTGCTGTCGTTAAGCAGCTGCCTTCAGCTCAGGTCATGATCCTGGGGTCTTGGGATCGAGCCCCACTTCCGGCTTCCTGCTCAGTGGAGAGCCTGTTTCTCCCTCTCCATCTGCCTGCCACTCTGCCTACTTGTGCTCTCTCTCTCTGTCAATTAAATAAAATCTTTAAAAAAAAAATCTCAAGTGATTTCATTCATCAAATCGGGAAATTCCTCTAAAAAAAGGCGTGATAAAAGTTTAAATCTTCCCCTTTAATCACTAGTTTTCAGAATAAGGAGTTGTAATGGTCACCTCCAAACACTAGTTTTCTCTCTGTAGGGACGTGTATTTTTATAATCAATTACAGTAAATGCTCTTTTTGTTCAAACTGTTCTAAGTCTGTCCAGAAGAGCTCCAAGGTCCTTTCATATCCTTTTCGTGTACCAGTTAGTTTTGAGCACATTTTCAGTTTCTAACATGAGCAGATGTCCCAGGCTCATCTTGTGCTTTCTTTACTCCAGTTTTGGAATCAGCCATTTCTTGTTCCTGTTAGTGGGGAATGATATTTAAAACCAAACTCTGGACATAAGATGTGCTCATTGCTACTGGACCATTATTGCTTCCAGGTCCTTTCAATGGACAGAACTAGAAAATGTATTTTTAAAAATAATGAGTTTAAACAATATTAACCAAGTTATTATTACCACAGTGTTTTCTTCTTTGATGTGTATCTCTATTTCCCTTATACTAAAAATTTTGGTTTCTTGCAGTGCCTGCGTGGCTCAGGCGGTTAAGTGTCCCGACTCTTCATTTCAGCTCAGGTCATGATCACAGGGTTGTGAGATTGAGCCCCATGTTGGACTCTGCTGGGCATGGAATCTGCTTAAGATTCTCTTTCCCTCTCCCTCTGCCCCTCCTCCCCCTCTAAAAAATACATAAAAAATAAAAATCTTAGTTTCTAATGGCATGTGCAAATTGACATTTTTTGCTTTATACTACAATATTCAAAATATAGTTTCAAAATTATAATTAGTACTACTACTAATAGGAATACTGAGTAAAATATAAGATTTCTTTGCATCCTACCAAGGATGTACAAAATACTATATTCAGGAGTCACTTGAAATAATTTCTCTGTATGCATTATAGGCATACCTCAGAGATACTGGGGTTTGATTCCGGACCACTGCAATGGAGTGAATATCTCAATAAAGTGAGTCAAATGAATTTTCTGGTTTCCAGTGCTTATAAAAGTTATTTTTACACTATATTATAGTATATTAAGTGTGCAATAGAATTATGCCAAAAAAACAATGTACATACCTTAATAATACTTTTTTGCTAAAAAATGCTCACCATCATCTGAGCTTCAGTGAGTCATAATTACTGATCACAGCTCACCATAACAAATATAATAATAATGAAAAAGTTTGAAACATTGCAAGAATTACCAAAATGCAACACAGAGATATGAAGTGAACAAATGCTGTTGGATAAATGGTGCCAGTAGACTTACTTGGTGTAGGGTTGCCACAAACCTTCAATTTGTAAAAAATAAAAAGTATCTATGAAGTGCAATAAAACAAGGTATGTCTGTACTAATTTGAAATACAACAGATATTTTGTTTTCAAATTTAGGATTTGCTAATTTTCTTTTTGATTTAGTGGATTTTTAAATAGGCAAAACATAGTTCAAAATTCAAATTTATATTAAAAGGTATATGCAGAAGTCTTGCTTTCATTACCTTCCCTTCCACCTTGTTTTTTTTCCACGACTCTTCCATCCTCCCCACCATAGGTAGCCGCTTTTACTGGTTTCTCTTACCCTTCCAGTGTTTCTCTTTGTAAATATATATGCATACTTATACTATGTATATACGTATATATATTTATTCCCTTTTTTCTTGAACAAAGAATACATACTACATATACTATTCTATATCTTGCTTTTTTTTTTTTTACTTAACTGAATCTTCGTGATTACTTCTATCATTACAAATAGAGCTTGCTCATTGCTTGTTTATGGCTGCATCATACTTCATTGTATAGAGTTTATTAAACTAGTTAATTCAAGTCCTTCCTATTTTTTTAACTTTTTATCATGCAAATGCCCAAAAGTTAAAAAATAGGAGTAATATAATGAACCTCCTTGTATCCTCTAGAATCAATTATTAATAACACTTTGCTAATCACATGTGATTGATACTTTACCGTTTTTTGTTGTTGGCATATATGAAAACAGATTTCAGACATGCCATTTTACCCAAATTGTTCAAAGTGTGTGTGTGTGTGTGTGTGTGTGTGTGTGTGTGTGTGTGTGTGTGTTAGGAAGGTCTGGTAAAGATACTGTAGGTTGATGGATAAAGCATCAATATATTTTTTTTCTTTTTCATATATTTAAGACCATTTGCACTTCTCTGTGAATTGTGTGTTCATGTCTTTTGCCCATTTTTTTTTTTTTCTGAACAGGTTCTATTTTGTCTTTACTTAAGAGCTTTTTATATTTTAGGGAGACCAACTCTCTATGATATAATGTGCCAAATATAGTCTCCTTGTTTGTCATTTGCTTCTGGTGCTTTTTGCCATGCAAGGGACTTTTATATTTTGGCGGTGGAATTCTATTAATCTTACATTGCTTCTTGTTTTGAGTTATAGTTAGACTTTCTAATTCTAGGCTATAAAAGAATTCACCCATGTTCTTTTAGTACTTACTTACAGGGTTGTTTTTTTTTTTGTTTGTTTGTTTTTTCTTGTCCCATTTGACTCTGATTGATTTGGAGTTTGTTCTGGTATATAAAAACAAATATGGATCCAAATTTATCTTTTCCCAAATGGTTATCTGGTTGTTTCAGTCATTTATTAGTAAATTCATCTTGTCAGTGATTTGAGACATTACGTCTATGTACTTCTAGATTCTCTTCGTTAGCATTCATGTGTCTATTCATGTACCAAAGCCATACAGCTGTATTTATCAAGGCTATATGGTAAAGCTAATCCTGCCTTGTCACTTTTCTTTCTCAGGGTGTTCTTATTATTTTTGTTATTTATTTTGAGACAATCTCAACTATTCAGAAAAGTTGCAAGTACAGAAGGAACTTTTTTCCTGAGCCGCTTTGATAGTAAGATGCTGACATGTTGTCCTATCTCCTTTAGGCATTTAGTGTATTTTCCCTACAAAGACATTTTTATATAACCACAATGCAGCCATCAAAACCAGAAAGTTAACATAACCACTCTATAATCCTCAGACCCCCGTTCAAATTTTCCAGCTGTCCCCTATCTGAAAAGACAATCCAGCTGTTGAATCCACTTGTTGAATTTGGTTCTCCAGTCTCTTTAGCTTCTTTAATCAGGAACAGTTTCTCAGTGTTTCCTTGAATTTCATGATGAGTTAATTTGTACTATCAGGTGAAATCA